TGATAGAGACTGTGGGAGAAATGGAGGTTGAGAGAGACTGTGGGTGAGTTGGAAGCTGGTGAGAAGAGATGTGGTTTGGAGGAGGGCGTGGAGGGTACAAGGTGAAGAAGATGGGTATGGGTATTACATTTCCATGAATAAGAAGATGAAGAACAAGAAGAAAAAGAACAAGAAGAAGAACAAGAGGAACAAGAAGAAGAACAAGAAGAACAAGAACAAGAACAAGAAGAACAAAAACAAGAAGAACAAGAACAAGAAGAACAAGAACAAGAAGAACAAGAAGAAAAACAAGAACAAGAAGAACAAGAAGAACAAGAAGAACAAGAAGAAAAACAAGAACAAGAAAAAGAACAAGAAGAACAACAATAACAGCAACTACCAGGAGTGTGGCTTATTTCCAGTGAAACTCTTTGGTCCTATTTTCTCAGGATATCACTAATAACAGTCGATAAGGTTGGTCGGGTACCGACTCAAGGAATCTCTCCAGGTCCGTCTTGAAGGCAGCCAAATTGGAAATTAAAATGGAAAATGAACGACTTTTCGTTTCATCCTGGAACATGACAAATCACGAATGTCAAGTCACGAATGATTCAGTTCGACTGAGCAGTGACCAGCAGTTAACTGATATTGATTATCTTGAAGGCCAGAAAGCAGCCACATAACACAAACAAGCAGTATGTGAGTGCTATCCCTTGGTGTGCCCTTGGCAGGAGCTGTGAGGTTTGTGGTTCGTGGTTTCTCGTTCATAACTTGTAACACGATGCCTCTAAAATTTACCACTAAAACAGCCTGATTGGTCACAGACCGGGCCGTGGTTAAAGGACGGCGGACCGAGTTTGCAAGACTAATGTACTGAATGACCCTGACAGGTTTACTGCTTCAGGAAGTCCAATATTCATCAACTCCACTACCAGATTCACCAGTTAGGATAAGCTTAATAACTTCATTATCCACTTCATATGCATCCTGTGGACGGAAGTTAAATGATTACATAGACATAATGGGTCCAGGAACTGGACCGCAACAGCCATGGTTAAACATTTATGAATAAAACACATCAATAACAAATTGAATGGCTTATATTGCAGTTTGCCTCAAGATCACCTTCAGATGAACCTGGTAACAAGGTTTGATGCTCGATTCGATCCCCGGCACGACTGGACATGCTGGCCATGTTTCCTTACACCTGCTACCCTCGTTCACCTAGCACTAGATATGTACCTAGGTGCTAGCCGACTGGTGTGGCTCGCATCCTGGGGAGAAGATTAAAGGAATCCAGTGGAAATAAGCCGACCAGCCTGATGGCAGTGGCTTTATCGGGTCATCCTGAGTTACTTACCCTCTCTACCCTGGGTTATCCTAGGTTACTAACCCTTCGAAGTAATATTCCAAACAAAATCCAAATATTATTATTTCTCAGTACCAGAGGAGCCATGCTCGCAACATAAGTAATCCAGTTTTAATCCCCAGAATGGGAAGACAGCGGTAAATCTCGGCCAAATTACCAGACGCTCCACTGAGTGGGTCATCCAATGACTGTCACCAACAGCAGGAGAAATCTTCACTCTCCTCACGAAGCACATGTTCTCCCTATCTCACTGTGGTCACTTGAAAATTAATTTAATCTTCAATCCATTTGCTCTGTGCTCAAGTTGTTTAAAAAAAAAAAAAACGACCATAATATATAGTCTGCCTTATGGAGCACTAAGTGCTCGATTGTCCGCTTATTAATGAATATATAGTATAATAACTAATGTGATTTGTCAAGGTATTTTATTAATAAAAACAAGATACCAGACATATTAAACAAATATTTTAAATTTGCGTGCAACAGTTAAGACATATTTTGTAGAGTTAGATCCAGATATATGTATTCCTGTTAACCATTTTTTGGGCCCAGTTCATAGGTCTTTTGTATATTCATTTGTTCTTGTGCTACCTTCCACAGGATGAATATGAGTTGTATAAGATATTACCCACCATCGTCCATATGATGAATATAGGATGCATAATATACTAGCCACTAGCATCCACAGGATGAACATAGAATGCTTAATAAACTAGCCACTACCATTCACAGTATGAACATAGGATGCATAATATACTAGCCACTACCATTCACGGTATGAACATAGGATGCATAATATACTAGCCACTACCATTCACAGGATGAACATAGAATGCATAATAAATTAGCCACTACCATCAACAGGATGAACATAGAATGCATAATAAACTAGTCACTACCATCAACAGGATGAACATAGAATGCATAATAAACTAGCCACTACCATCAACAGGATGAACATAGAATCCATTATAAACTAGCCACTACCATCAACAGGATGAACATAGAATGCATAATAAACTAGCCACTACCATCAACAGGATGAACATAGAATGCATAATAAACTAGCCACTACCATCAACAGGATGAACATAGAATGCATAATAAACTAGCCACTACCATCAACAGGATGAACATAGGATGTACAATAAACTAGCCACTTAGATGGCAAAATCTAAATAATCTAATTATCAAACCCCTTGCACATTTAAGCCTCGTGAAATGATGACAAAGTACAGGTCTCAATACAGAATCTAACCTCTCAGCCCATCATTGATGAATGTTTGTTATGGTATTGTATTCTCTTAGTAATATGATAGCTCTGTAGTGTCTCCTGATTCCTGTGTGGTGACGAAATTTACATGTAAAAGTGGGCTGAGCTGGTATAGCAATCTGCCTGCAGTTGTAAGTACACCAGTTCGATCTCCAGAATTTATGGCACATTATACGACACTGTTCCTATTACTAATACTACTACTGTTACAACTACTACTATTTCTACTTCTGCAACTACTACTACTGATATTACTACTATGACTTCTACTACAGCTATAGCTTCTGCTTCTTGTATTATTATTGTAACTGCTACTACTACAACTTTAATGTCACTGTTACTACTACTATTCTTACTACTACTTCTACTACTACTACTACTACTACTACTACTACTACTACTATTACTACTACTACTACTACTACTACTACTACTACTATTACTACTACTACTACTACTGCTACTACTACTACTTCTACTACTACTGCTACTACTACGACTACTACTACTACTACTACTACTACTACTACTAATAATAATAATAATAATAATAATAATAATAATAATAATAATAATATTATTATTATTATTATTATTATTATTATTATTATTATTATTATTATTATTATTATTATTATAAATTTAGCTTTTAGAACACAGGCATCACGTGGCTCTTCCTTAATCGTTTAATAAGAGGAAATAACTTTCCATTATTACGATGGCAGTGGCTCCTGTACTGCCAGGGTGCCATTATTAAGATGGCAGTGGCTCCTGTACTGCCAGGGTGCCATTATTAAGGTGGCAGTGGCCCCTGTATTGCCAGGGTGCCATTATTAAGATGGCAGTGGCCCCTGTACTGCCAGGGTGCCATTATTAAGATGGCAGTGGCCCCTTTACTGCCAGGGTGCCATTCCTGAGCCCAGAAGTACTGTTCCCAAGATTCCCGCTGAGGCAGATATCGGAATGCCGGAGGAGTGGCAGAAATCCCACCTTGGAATGTTGTAATGGAGAAATTACTCAGGCAAGAAACCATTTGTGGATGCGTATGTGTGTGTGTGTGTGTGTGTGTGTGTGTGTGTGTGTGTGTGTGTGTGTGTGTGTGTGTGTGTGTACTCATCTATTTGTGGTAGCAGGGGTCGAGACTCAACTCCTGGCCCCGCCTCTCCATTGACCGCTACTAGGTCCTCTCTCTCCCTGCTCCATTAGCTTTATCATACCTCGTCTTAAAACTAAGTATGGTTCCTGCCCCCACTACCTCACTTTCCAGATTATTCCACTTCTTGACAACTCTGTGTGTTTGTGTGTGTGTGTACTCACCTAGTTGTACTCACCTAGTTGAGGTTGCGGGGGTCGAGTCCGAGCCCCTGGCCCCGCCTCTTCACTGATCGCTACTAGGTCACTCTCCCTGAGCCGTGAGCTTTATCATACCTCTGCTTAAAGCTATGTATGGATCCTGCCTCCACTACATCGCTTCCCAAACTATTCCACTTACTGACTACTCTGTGGCTGAAGAAATACTTCCTAACATCCCTGTGATTCATCTGTGTCTTCAGCTTCCAACTGTGTCCCCTTGTTACTGTGTCCAATCTCTGGAACATCCTGTCTTTGTCCACCTTGTCAATTCCTCTCAGTATTTTGTATGTCGTTATCATGTCCCCCTATCTCTCCTGTCCTCCAGTGTCGTCAGGTTGATTTCCCTTAACCTCTCCTCGTAGGACATACCTCTTAGCTCTGGGACTAGTCTTGTTGCAAACCTTTGCACTTTCTCTAGTTTCTTTACGTGCTTGGCTAGGTGTGGGTTCCAAACTGGTGCCGCATACTCCAATATGGGCCTAACGTACACGGTGTACAGGGTCCTGAATGATTCCTTATTAAGATGTCGGAATGCTGTTCTGAGGTTTGCTAGGCGCCCATATGCTGCAGCAGTTATTTGGTTGATGTGCGCTTCAGGAGATGTGCCTGGTGTTATACTCACTCCAAGATCTTTTTCCTTGAGTGAGGTTTGTAGTCTCTGGCCCCCTAGACTGTACTCCGTCTGCGGTCTTCTTTGCCCTTCCCCAATCTTCATGACTTTGCACTTGGTGGGATTGAACTCCAGGAGCCAATTGCTGGACCAGGTCTGCAGCCTGTCCAGATCCCTTTGTAGTTCTGCCTGGTCTTCGATCGAGTGAATTCTTCTCATCAACTTCACGTCATCTGCAAACAGGGACACCTCAGAGTCTATTCCTTCCGTCATGTCGTTCACAAATACCAGAAACAGCACTGGTCCTAGGACTGACCCCTGTGGGGTGTGTGTGTGTGTGTGTGTGTGTGTGTGTGTGTGTGTGTGTGTGTGTGTGTGTGTGTACAAATAACCTCAGATAAATCTCCACCTCTCACCTTATCTTTGGCCATGATGGTCTTCTGAAGGTGTGAGAGTTCATGGTTCTCTCTCACCTCCTCCCTCCGCGCCTCCAGCCTCACCATCTTCAGTTTCCTTTCGTGTTCCTGCTTCATTTTCCGCAGCTCCACTGCCCGATCTCTTTCCACCGCCGCCTTCGTCGCTAGCTCGGCCCTAAGGCGATCTTTTTCCTGACGAAGAGCAGTCAGCTCGCGACGAAGGTGAGACAGCTCCGCTGACGAAACTACCTCGATACCCTTCTTGATCTGCAGGAGGAAGTTAACAGAGTACTGAGTCATTTATCAGTAAAAACATTATTATAAGTCACATATTCAACACTTGCGTACCTTTATTAAGAAGACGTTTCGCCTGCATCTTTATGAATTCAGACCAGATACAGTGGGAGATACAGTGGGAGATACAGTGGGAGATGAAGTATTCAGTCTCCACAATAAAGATACCCAGGAGTTGCACATGTGTCTTATTCATCAACTTTTCGGTTATGTATACCATTAGTTTAGTGATACACTATACTACACATATACTGTGGCTACGCTCAACGTCAAAGGACACATAAAAATTCTCCATGGGCAGTTCCACTTGTTGCGAACCACCATCATACAAAATTCCCGACACTGCACAAGCCAGGTGAATGCTACGTCACAGCTCCTGCTCACTACTCATGTTCATGACATAAAAAAATAATATTTTGTTTTTGCATATTGTAGTGCGTTTTTTTTTTTTTTTGTGCTGCGATTCCTATTCTGTATATTACATACACAGTGGGAACAAAAGCAAAGTGTTGAAATCTGTCAGCCTGAGCTGCCATACTTTAGTAGAGCAATGAGGATATTGTCACGTGTTCCTCTAAGGGCTCATTACTTGCAACAAGAACATTACGCAGTTTATAACATTTACTGAAAGACGTTTCACCCACCAGGCACGACACCTGGACGAAATTAATCTCAGCAAATGCCAGAAACCGCATACTCTGACTTCTTCACACACACTTGTCGGTACGATTTACCGTTGATATCAGAAAGTAAACAAACGGAGGTGACACTTGCATTCAGTCTTTACAGAAAGTAACGGAAGGTGGAGTGTTGTGGCAACAAATCTCCGCTGTTTATTAGCTCCCTTGAGATATATATCATTTATTTAACATCTTTGAGTTTGTGGACTAGAAGCAGTTATCTTACCTCAGCTCATGTACAGGTTACTAGCTGGTATAGCCTGCCATCCCCCCCCCTCTCAATTGCAGGCTAAGGCCTCTACTTCTACCTCAGTTCATGTACACGATACCATATGTTATCATACCCCGAACTATTTCATGTCTATTGTGTGCTCTGTGGCTTCACAATTGCCTATTTGTTCCAATAAATCTGCGCAAGTGTTCAGAGATGCTGTCCTTCAATTGATGCCTAGTTATTTTACCAATTGAACGTCTGCATCTTTGAACACTTAAGCACATCTATTAGAAAATATATATATATATAAAATATATATATATATAAATATATATAAATATAATATATACAATATATATATATATATATATATAATATATATATAATATATAAATAATAAATATATATAAAAAATATAATTAATGAAATATATATATAAAATTTAAATATATAATCCTATAAAATATATAAAATATATATATATATAAAAATAATATAATTCTACCTAATGGTTTAGATCATTATAACATGCACCTGTTTCTCTCTCTGCATCACCAGCTCGCGGGATCTCGCATTGGTCTTCTCGACTTTCATGCGAAACTTGAGCTCTCTGATCTCCTCGTTCTTGTCGTGGATGATCTTACGCAAGTTGGCCAACCGCGATCGCATCACCGATATCTCCCGCATCGCTGACGTCAGCTCCCGCGTCGTCGGATGCGTCGCCGATTCCCACATCGACGTCGATTCGCTTCTGAGGGACGTGGAATCGCGTTCCAGGGATGTTGACTCTCTTGATGACGGTGTCTCTGGTAGGCGCCTCAGGTGGACAGTTAATTCCCTATCGCCGGTGGTCGATCGTGACCAAAAGCGCCGAGATGTCTGGCATTTCTTCTCGCGATCCGGAGATTCTACTTCTTGTTTTGCTGGCGATTTCTGCCACTTGGGCCGCACTTGCTGCTCGGGTTTCTCTAACTCCAACTCACCGTGGAAAGGTTTGATGGATTTTATTTGCTTATTGTGACTTCCATGAGCGTTTGGTCTGTCATCCTCAGCATCCTTGGCTGATTCCGTGTTGGAGTAGAGACTTGTTCGGCTACACGTATCTTTGTCTTCATATGTGTTGGAGGTAAGGGACGGATAGTCGTTTTCTTCTCTGTCTGTGTCTGTTTCTTCAGTATCTGGTATTTCCGTGTCTGTTTCCTCCGTGTCTGGTACTTCCATGTCACCCTCTTCCATGTCTGTTCTCATTGCGTCTGCATCTTCTATTTCTGTGTCGATATTTGTTCTATCTCCTATGCCCGTTTCATCAAATTCTGTATTGAAATCCTTATCAACGTACATTTCGTAGCGATTTGAGATTTCTAGTTCTCTTGTATCACACTCTTTTTTCCTTGAATCTATTTCTAAGGAGGAAATGCCTTTAAGATCTGTTTTCTTATTAGCAAACTCTGCTTGGCCTAATTCATTCTCACTTATATCCGTTTCGGCTCCGTATAAATCCATTTCGCTGGCATCTGTTTCACTAATGTCTGTCGTTTCAATAACTGTCAGGTTTCCTTTAGATTTCATTGCGTTAGTCATGGAGTGAGTTTCACTACTTGCCTGTGATTCATCAAGATTATCTTGCCTGAAAAACAGTTCAAGTTCCCTCCATCCACAGTGGTTGTAGTCAATGGTATATCTTTCTTGAAAGTAGTTCCCACTCACACTAAGTCTGGGATCCGCATTTATTCCATCTATTTCTCTTAAAGCCGCGTAATCTTGGCTTCTGTCCTCCTTGTCAGTATCGCTGGTGGTTTTCAACGTAGATTCTGTGTCGCGGCTGCTCATATCAGTGTCGCTTACGTTATCGTTATCAAACACGTCATCATAGTAATCGTAGTTATCGTCGACTGTAGCGGCATAGCTACACTCACCAGCACTTGCTTTGTTGCCATTATCAGACGATCCTTCGAAGTCCTCCAAGGATGTGTCAATACTGGAGGTGTTGAGAGCTTGTTTAGCCTTGTGTACCTGCCAGTGGACCTCTGTCGTGTAGCTCTGGTTGAAAGAGTGGGAGAGACCTTGGGTTGTAGTAGTTTTGAGGAATGAAGTTGATTTCCCATCTTTTGACGATCCAGTCCCATAATCGGAAGCTGTGACGGAGGAATCTGGTGAGAGCAAAGGAGACTGGACACTCTCCAAGTCATTACTGTTTTTGCCTGACGGTTGTATTGATGTTGTTGTCCTGTAAATCATGCTGAATGTTTTCCGTCGATTTTCCATGGTTGGTGCGTAAATCTATTTACGCATCGTAGAGACACTCAGCTTTTGTCGATGATGAGGAAATTAGATTGAGAGTAACCGCATCTCAAGAAAAATTACTTGTTAAAAATGTAAAGAAATACTATAACGCTGCAGCAAGTCATTGTGTGGACAGTTTTACCGTCGTGCAGATCACAGCCGGATATCATTTAGTAAGTTTTGGCACATTAAAGTTTCCAGACAGAATGCTTATTATCAATTGGTTATTGTCAAGGGGCGACCACGGCTATTACAAATATCTGGAAAGGCTAGCTGGGCCGCCTATGTAATTAGTTTATGGTGCAACCCGAGCTCATCATGTGAGCGGTAGAGCAAAAAAATGGAGAGGTGTGTACTTATATATCTCTAGCATTAACAGTCAGCGTCACTGAACATGCTCTTTCCAGAGCCTGTGAATATTGCGGTATATGAATCCGGATTTTAAATGTATTCTGGAGTCAGGCGCATGCGATGTCTCCTGCCAGTAGTGTCTAACTCTGCTAGTATAAGCTGCTTACTTTCGCGTAAATCACAAGCAAACATGTTATCTAAACTTACAAAGCACTTTTGTGTTCACTCTTGTAGCTAAAAATATCGGATGACGGAATATCTTACTTAATTTCTTTCCATCTTCATATATTAACCCAATGGATATTTTTTTTCTAAAACATATTTAAATATTTTATCAAATGGCACGAATATCACAGTTTCATTTTCAACCGAGTTTATACATATAGGAATTCCTTCACCACATAGTTCACTGGATTACATAACAGAGTGAGGAGTACATCACCCCACCTGAACCACTGACAGTCCCATACTGAAGCGGTGGGAAGACCTCACCTTGCGGGACGCCTGTCGAAGATGCTATCAATATTATTTTTACCATTATATTACTACGTTTCATCCGTTAACTCCTTTCATGATTTTATTTGAGTCAAGAAGTTTACAGAATTAATGATATTAACCTGTTTATTACTGGGTAATGAATGGAAATCTATGGAATAAATTATCGTTACTGGCAAGAAAAGGCAACTGGATACTCACCTGTTAGTTTATTTCTACCTTGAGTAAGTTATACCGTTGGTCTCTTGGCATTTCCTCATGGCATAAGTATCACATCCATAAAATAGACGTTTGCTCTAAAATATTCTTATCTGTAGAAGGGGAAGATAAGAGGTATATATATATAGGGGTTTAAAGGGCCCTCTTCTCCAGCACTCGTCAACATCTCCCTCAACCCCTTCTTGCCTACCCTGATATCTTGTCTCCATCAGTGCCGCCTACCTGTATCTCCAATACGCCTTACCTTCCTTCCTCATCTCCTCTACTAAACATTGTACCTACCTCACTAACACACAGTACCTACCTCATTACCAGCATTAACACACGGTACCTCTCTATCACACACTACCTACCTAACACAGTACCTATCTAACACATAGTACCTCTCTCGCTAGCACATAACACCTCCATCACATCTCTCATTTGCCTCTCTCTCTTACCCCTGTCACCAGCATATGATATCTCTCCATCACACAGTACCTCCCTCACTACCTCTCTCACCACCTCCCTCACCACCTCCCTCACCACCTCCCTCACTCACTACCTTCCTCACCACCTCCTCACCACCTCCCTCAACCTCCCTCACCACCTCCCTCACCACCTCCCTCACCACATCCCTCAAACCTCCCTCACCACCTCCCTCCCTCACCACCTCCCTCCCTCACGACCTCTCTCACGACCTCCCTCACCACCTCCCTCACCACCTCCCTCACCACCTCCCTCACCACCTCCCTCACCACCTCCCTCACCACCTCTCTCACCACCTCCCTCACCACCTCCCTCACCACCTCCCTCACCACCTCTCTCACCACCTCCCTCACTCACCAGATATCTCGTCCTGTGCTAAGCATTAATTTTCATACTAGCCAACACTAATTTTTAATTATTCTAATTATACTTACAGTAATTACAGTACCTAAATATAATGAAAAATATTGAGCATAGGTATAGGAAGTATAGGATTTTAAAAATTACATTACCTATGTTTTTTTAAAAGTATTATTATTTTCTTCTTCTTCTTCTTCTTCTTCTTCTTCTTATTATTATTATTATTATTATTATTATTATTATTATTATTATTATTATTATTATTATTATTATTATTATTATTATTATTATTATTATTGATGTGGAAGCGCTAAACTCATAGGTATCACACAGCGTCTCAGGAAGATGTAACCAGTTCTAAGCCAAGGAAGAGAAAAACAGCTCCGATACCCTGGATCGAGAGTCCTTCACGAGCATCCAGGTATATGTGGAGTAGCTGGCACTCGTGATGAGTATCAGCTACTGCACATATTATATATCGAGTGAGCGCTTGAGGTCCTGCGGGGAGCTAGCACCAATAGCCTGGTTAACCATGGATTAAAAAAAGGTCTAGTAAAAGAGACGTTCAGCTGTCTTACCAGTGCTTGCAGAAAGTAAATATATAACCTGATGGCATTATTTCCAGTCCAATGGTAAAATATCGCCACACCGTATAGAATCATCCTGGTGACGTTGTTTACTGCGTTAAAAGTCTATCAGCTACACGAGGCTCATTAAGACTACAAATAACTTGTTCACTACCGTTCAAGAACACTTTATTGCATAGTATGTGAATAAAATTATGAAAATACACTGAGACATATACCTCTCAGTGTACATATACCTCTCAGTGTACATATGCTTCTCAGTGTACATATGCCTCTCAGTGTACATATACTCTAGTGTACATATAGCCTCTCAGTGTACATATACCTCTCAGTGTACATATACCTCTCAGTGTACATATACCTCTCAGTGTACATATACCTCTCATGTACATATACCTCTCAGTGTACATATACCTCTCAGTGTACATATCCTCTCAGTGTACATATACCTCTCAGTGTACATATACCTCTCAGTGTACATATACCTCTCAGTGTACATATACCTCTCAGTGTACATATACCTCTCAGTGTACATATACCTCTCAGTGTACATATACCTCTCAGTGTACATATACCTTCAGGTCATAACTCTCAGTGTACATATACCTCTCAGTGTACATATACCTCTCAGTGTACATATACCTCTCTGTGTACATATACCTCTCAGTGTACATATACCTCTCAGTGTACATATACCTCTCTGTGTACATATACCTCTCAGTGTACATATACCTCTCAGTGTACATATGCTTCCATCTGGTCACCAGTTAAGGATACCTTAATACCTTAATTAACATATGAATCAATGTAAACTCTTAGCATATACACAATTAGAAATATAAATCTCTTGGTTTATATGTATCCTGACTGGTTAGGTTAGGTCAGGTTTGTCAGGAAACAAGACAAGTGTTTCCTGACGAGGGTCTCAGCCATATTATAACCCAAAGCTGAGGCTTTTGATCATCTGACAGAGGACTTCCGCTGGCTTACCGGTCCACCTCTTTGAAAATCATAATTATGATTATAGCCACTTTATAGTATTATCCTGACTGGAAAAGAATGATCGTCTGATTATTGCAAAATCTTAGATAAGCTGGATAAGTTAAGGTATTTTATATTACGTTATTTTAGTCATGAAACAAGATAAAAAATTTATCAGAACTGCATAACCAAATTATCCTCTTTTCTCTTGAGCAAATTTTCAAAAGTTTCTGAAGTGGTATGTGAAAGTTTCGCAAGATAATCCACAGGCTGGTTAATGGGGGTTTAAAGCCTGTCGACTACACCAGGGTCATAAAGCTTTCGTTTAACTTTTGGCACCACTGAAGAAAACTTTAATCGTTAAGGACCCTGATGGAAATAAGTCATTTTATCTGACTTTTTTGGGTTATCCTGGTGGGTGGTGGGAAATTTACACATATGTTACTATGCAATAAGATCACAGTAAACAGGTGATTTCAGAATATGCAAAACAACCACTGTGAAAGAATAAAGAAATTACAAGCGCTTTCGTGACTACTCACATTATCAAGGAACAATGAAAGTAAAGCATCAAAGGAAGGTATGTAAAGGGTCTAGCCCACACCTCACTATCACATCCCACAACAAAGCAACACCTGACGCGCGACTCATAAGAAAGGGAACACTGCAGCAGGCCCGCTGGCCCAACTAGACAGGTCCTTCACACAACCCACCAACAAACTATTCTACCCAAGAAATGAGAATTTTAAAAATTATTATTTGTCCAATGTATTATTAAATTCTTCCCAAATTCTATTAATTATAAATGGATCTAATTTATATAAACCAAAGGAAATATTCATATTATTGTCAAAACTGCTTTTAATGAAACAAGATTCAATTATATTCCTGTCGACCATGGACTTGTTTGATACTACTTTCTCAACTTTTTGAAAATCAATTGGATGGTTAAAATCTCTTACATGAATAAATAGAGCATTGGAATCTTGTCCAGTTCTAATGCTATATTTATGTTGTTTTAATCTTAGTTCGAGATTTTTACCAGTTTGACCGTAATAAACTTTATCGCAAATTTTACAAGGAATTTTATAGACACATCCATCAGCATTTTGGGGGGAATTCTTTATCAAAAGTTTTTTTTACTGTATCAAGATTTTTGAATACAACTTTAACATTAAAAGTCTTAAGAAGAGAAGGCATATCAACCAAGTTTTCATGGTAAGGGAGAACCAACATATTTTTAGTTGAATAAGGCTGGTTGTCCCTTTTTGGATTGTAAAAAGTATTTCTAGCAACTTTAAAAGATTTGTCAATTACATTTCTTGGGTATTTCAAATCATTACCTATTTCATAAATTTTGGATATTTCTTCATCTATGAATTCTGGACTACATATTCGTAAAGCTCTCAAAAACATTGATGAGAAAACAGACAGTTTAACTCTATCTTGATGCGAAGAATAATAGTGGACATATGAACAGTTATTTGTAGGTTTTCTGTAAATTTTAAATTTGAATTCATTATTACCCTTAATAATTAAAACATCTACAAAAGGCAATTAGTTATTTTCTTCAAATTCAATAGCTTAGATCATTCTATAAACTTTACTGTTGAATTTGGACAAATAATTTTTAAAATTCTTATTTCTTGGGTAGAATAGTTTGTTGGTGGGTTGTGTGAAGGACCTGTCTAGTTGGGCCGGCGGGCCTACTGCAGTGTTCCCTTTCTTATGAGTTGCGCGTCAGGTGTTTCTTTGTTGTGGGATCTGACAGTGAGGTGTGGGCCACCCCTTTATATACCTTCCTTTGATGCTTTACTTTCATTGTTCCTTGATAATGTAAGTAGTCACGAAAGCGCTTGGAATTTCTCTATTCTTTCACAGTGGTTGTTTTGCATATGTTACTATGTATGATAATTTGTGTAATTATATTCATGTGTATCTGTACCTAAATACACTTAATTCTTAACCTTAGCATGTACACGTTAAGAGAAATACATCTTTCGGTGTATATATCCTGCATAGGTAAAAAGACAAACAAACTGTAATATTTTAGTGGTAATTTTATTGACTGCAAATGTTCAATACAAGGCTCAAGCTTCCAGTGTCGGTCTGGTAAAGTAATCTTCACCCAGGACCGTAGAATAGATAGAAAAATGGGAATATCACTCGTTGCGTGATGAGACTCAGAATGCTTGGAGCAACACCACTGCAAGTTACAGCACTGTACTCTCAGTAACAAGGTGAACTATTAGTTAATCTTTTGTACATGTAAGAGAAGAAATCCCACGAACAGTAACCAAAAGACACCAAACATCAAAACTGGGTCAGTTGTGGGACTGAAGCCGTTTTCTGTAGAGTGACTGACCAATTAAGCTCTGGCAAGCGTTCAAAAATAGTGATGACGGAGCAATTTGCTCTTTCAAGCTTACTGAATAAATTCTGATTCTTAATACAGTCTCGTTTCTTGTCTCTTTCCAGAAATCAACTCCCTCAGTGTGAGCTGCCTTTATTTGCCGTTATAAATGGCCAGAGTGAGAGCCAGCACTTGGCCATGTGGAACCGCTGGTTGTGACTTAAGTTACGGCGCTGTATCACCTCGAAGCAAGCAGACGCAACCTCTTCCCCCAGTAGCGTGTGCTCCTTCGACAAATAAAAAAACTTGACCATCGAAGGAGGAGGACCTAGCTTAAGGCTGCGGCACCGCAGATACTGAAGGGCGCGGCGACGCAGCCAACTGACTAGCCCAGGAGGCTTCAACTAGGTCCTGCTCCCTCGAGTCCCACTCATTAGCCGCCTCTCACTAGCAACCTCTGGCTCTCACGTCTAATTTAGAGCATAATCAAAATAACTCCACACAAGCTTATAATATTTTTCAGACAGAATAATTCTGAATAATTTAGAAATAAAAATTATGAGTCGAACAGAGTACACAGGTAAAACACATAACTACATACATAATTTCTCCTTAATCGCATTCATATAACTTCCCCGGTTCTATGAATGACGATCAGGGCACAGCACCCGTGGAGAGCCGAATTGTGATACACTTTTTATCAACAATAGAGTTAATGAATACATTACACACAAATATATATATATATATATATATATATATATATTTATATATATATATAATATATATATAATATATATATATATATATATATATATATATATATATATATATATATATATATATATATTATATAAATTAAAGCATAATTTTAAATGGACATGGCACTACAAGGCCAAACTCTGATCACACTTTACAAATTCTCATCATATGTCAGTATGATTTTAATCACTCTACCTGAAAGGACAAAGTCCAGCACACGCCCTAGAGGCAACGACAACATTTTAGCAACATTATCCTCCGAGAGAAGGAGAAGGTTTCACCGTAACATCCAACATAGCAGGAAAAATTAATAGTATTTGTGTTTTATTATAGTTGCCCGTCCCACCGCTGCCCCCTCTCTGTTTTCTTTGAGAAATGGTTCAGTTGGAGGGGAAACTCGCGTGGAATTCTCGGCATTTGTGCAATCTATGCCTATGAAATTCCCCGTTTAAGGGGACGTCTTGATGCCGGTGAAGAGCTATTAATCCAAGGAATTGGAGCTACACTCCCTTTCCTCGGGTCAAACATGATTATCTCTTATTTCCCCAAGTGCTGTATAACCCCTACGGGTTAAGCGCCTCCCCGTGAGTGTATTAATATTGTAAAATTCCCCAGATGCGACACACGAGAATAAGGTACACTGTTGCATTTTTAGTTTATATTCCGAGATAAAATCACATAAGTTTATTCTATTCAAATATCTTGAAAGTGAATGGTTACCTAAACCACATAATTTTGAAGAGCACATGAAGCGTTGTATAATATATATTTATATGTATATATTTTACTGAATCTATTTAGGAAATGGCGAAGATGTAAACAAAGAGAGAATATATCTAAGATCTACCTCTATCAGCTGTGCAACTTATACTCTAGGATATAATGTGTAGTTTGGATTTTTTTTTTTTTTTTTTTTTTTTTGAGAAATTGAATCTTCATGGGGGGGGGGGAGAAAGTGCGGGGTGAGTCGCTATACAGTATTTTTTTGTTTTATATAATAAAACCTGTCCACTACATGTTTGAGCTACGCACCACCTAACTGCTCACTACAGCTTTTCGGGACTACGGGTCTACACGAGAATACACTTTCAAGTCTGTGTAAGAAGGCAGCTTACAAGAGCAACACGTCTGAGAAAAGAATAGTTGTACCTTTGTCGCGAAATTTGAGGATATTGTATGAAGGCATTCGGTCGCCTGTTTACCCAAGGTAAACAATAAGCCGACAAGTAGAAATTAGGACACTGGTAGCAGAGAATCCTCATAGCGCAAGGTTTCAGGTTAGCAGTGTCTTTATTTCCAGCCTGTATACCCAAGAAAATAGCAAAGGAAATTCTCAGTAATGCTCAGGCTAGAACGAAATAATGACCACAGGCTCTTGGCTCTTGTAAAAGCCAACTTCTCCTTCTTCTACTTCTCCAGGTATCGAGAATCCCAGACGTTTGACTCTAATGTGTTTCTTACAGAGAAAAGTTAACACGACAATAAAAAAGATGATTAGTGAAAGACCATTGTAAGATTACTCAGCTTCTGTTCACAAGTATGCAGGAAAAAGTAGTGAACAGGGTAATATAGAGGTGGGTTATATTACATTATTGTTTAGCTCCAATGAATAGCCATAACAGCTTCACCTTGAGATGATCAAGATACTGTAATAGCTTCACCTTGAGATGATCAAGGTATTGTAACAGCTGTTCCTTGAGATGATCAAGAAATTTGAAAAGGAAGTCGGATTTATTATCCTCCTGGCCTAAGACGTGGACAGAGGTCTATATTCCTCAAAATCGAGAGACTAAACAAATTTTTTAGATGATGACACATCATGAAAGCTCATATCCTGACTTATCGTATTAAATATAATGAAACCAAAACTAATTCTAAGAAACCAAATATCAGGCCAAACTGGGCCATCTTTTTGTCTGCGATTTTGCTAATTGCAATCTTCGAGAGAAGACCACGTAAAACTTCTATATATATATATATATATATATATATATATATATATATATATATATATATATATATATATATATATATATATATATATATATATATATATATATATATATATATTAATAAATACAGTAATAACGTATATTTTATATAAATTTGTATATATATGTAGAAACTTCAGATACTTATACCAAACTGGACAACTACTGGTTATACACTCTAGGAATAGAAATGCCTCTGAAGAATTAAACTACCAGTTTAAGGTTGAAATCTATGTATGTATTTAGTAATAATAAATCTAATATGAAACTCTGTGTCGTTCTAAAAGTATTTTGTGTTTTCCGATACTTTACACCACCGTAGAAATAGAGTTTCATAGTAAATAAATTAACAAATGCGAGATCACAAAAAAACATTGAAATCCTCATGAACCCTTTCTTCCTACGATGCTACTGGCTGGACTTCTACGCTTCCTATCAGTCTGAAATTCCGAGCAGATCCGTACTATAGAAACATTAATCTACATCTAAATCATTTATAGTCTCCGGAAAAAAGTCACAAGGTCTGCATAGAAGATGGAGATAGCTGAGTGTGATATTGTGAGGGATGAGTATAGCGGGAACCGTTCCAAAAAGAAACCGGGTAATTTATAGAAGGTCCGGCATGTCTAGTGGTTCAGGATTAAACAGAGTGATGGAAGTTCGAGCCTCACTTGGTGAGGCTCGGAGCCTCACTCGGTGGTCTATTATGCAGAGAAAAGAAGTTTGAACGAATTTAAAGTTTACGAACAACACCATGAATCAAAATCTCTATAAATCCGTCAAACCGAGGCTTCACGGCATGTTACTTACAAAACAAAAGGCAGTTCGAAACGCTATTTTTTAAAAAAGTGAAATGACAAAAAAGGCGTTTGCTGTAAGAATCGGTTACTGACGTGTTTGCAATGATGATAGTTAACTTATACAATTCTAGTTTGACCTAGAGTGACCCTAGGTCAAATATGAAGGAGATATCAAATCTTGCTTCAAGTTCTGAGTACTTTGGTACATACAACCAAGTACCAAGAGATGAACGAAATCCACCATCCACTCCTCTAAGATTTGCATCAACTATTAATTATATATATATATATATATATATATATATATATATATATATATATATATATATATATATATATATATATATATATATATATATTATATATATATATATATATATATAAAGAAGCTGAATAGTATATGAACATTTTTATCTGCAATGAATATCTAGAGAATCTATTGGTGGCAGTTAATTATAAGGGAATAACGAAAAAGACAGAAGAATACAGATAATTTTGTGGTCCCTCACACACGAGATAATACATTTGAGCTTAATCCAATTTTTTATGGAAATAATTAAATCTAAGTTTGACAGGGAATGTAAGAGGAGGGAAGGTCCCTGATCGCACCTCCCTCGATGATGACACCATCGTTGTATCCCTTTAGTGCTGTTGCAGGTCAAGCCCTAGGAGACGAGGGCCTGGAGTGAGCCTTTGATAGACTCTTCAAAAGACGATACCGCCCAGGAAGATGGCCGTGCGGTTGATGTTTGAAGCTGTCTCGGAGCGTCTCCCAGGCTAGACACCTACTAATGCCATCTAGTCGACGGTCTCGATAGCCACAGTGGTCTCTGTCTTGGTCTTTGGGTCCTTGATGGGGCTTGGGGTCTTGGGAGCGGTCTGGGCTCCTGGCACGGCTGCTGCAGAACCGGTTCCACTCACAGCAGACATCGCACTGCCACGTCTTCCTCCTGTAACATCGACTGTTATTGACTCAGTCAGGCCTAAGACATACCCCTCGGTCACCTACTGTTAGGCCTATACTAACTCATATTTAGATAAAAAATACTAAACCACAATTCTAATTGATGCCTAAAAGTTCTACTGCATATTACTAGTCAGCCTTAAAGATCTAAGACAAGCTAGCCTGTGAGTAATCAGTATATTTCCTAACGTGAAGAAAAATAGTCATATTTATAACTTGTGACCAAATCTGGATTTCGATCCTACATATTTTCTGTGAACTTCTAGTGTCATATTATATATATATATATATATATTATATTTATATATATTATATATATATATATATATATATATATATATATATATATATATATATATGCAATAAGATCACAGTAAACAGGTGATTTTAAAATATGCAAAACAACCACTGTGAAAGAGTAGTGAAATTCCAAGCGCTTTCGTGACTACTCACATTGTCAAGGAACTATGAAAGTAATACATCAAAGGAAGGCAATTAAAGGGATTAGCCCATACCTCACAGTCAACTCCCACAACAAAGAAACACCTGACGCGCGACGATACCGGACTCATAAGAAAAGAGGAACACTGCAGTAGGTCCGATGGTCCAACTAGACAGGTCCTCACGACATCCCACTAACAAAATATTCTACCCTGACAATGTGAGTAGTCACGAATGCGCTTGGAATTTCACTACTCTTTCACAGTGGTTGTTTTGCAAGAATATATATATATATATATATATATATATATATATATATATATATATATATATATATATATATATATATATATATATATATAAGGTAATGATTTAATTCATTGATATAATTATGTATACATATGAACAAGATCTTAACTCAAATTATATGTATCCTCCAGAGACGGGATGTTAAACGAAGATAACAGAGGCTTTATTCCCTCAGGAACACCACACAGAGAAGAGGACAACCTAGAATTCCGTAGTGGCGATGTGTTTGGAGCCTAACTCCCTGAGGCCTACTGCAGGTTTCACTCGGGCTTCAAGGATCTCCGATCCACCTGGGACGGATTGGTGCTGATGCCCCAAGTCCCAGTGTTAGTTGAACCTAGAGCTTTTTCCTGTGATCAGTAGGATTCCCCCCAACGCTGTTACCCTTCTGCTATAACAGTAGGTGTCAGAGTGTGCATATGGGTACAGTCATACAACAGTTATCCGCCACTCTCCCAGGGATAGCTGGTGATCCAGTCAGAATGGACAGCAGGATTATCGGGATTGTGGGATACGAGGGATACGAGTTCTCTCTTTCTCCTCGTAATGTAATATATATATATATATATATATATATATATATTTATATATATATATATATATATATATATATATATATATAATTTATATGAGAGAGAGAGAGAGAGAGAGAGAGAGATCGCAGTCAGCAGGACCCGGTACTGCTACTGGGGACGGTCAAGATTCCCAAGCAGCGCTCTTATCCACTCAGCCACGAATGCCACATAATTTGCACAACCTGGTTCACAAGCCATGTTTCTTTCCCAGTCCGGGCACGTCAGTGAGCCTCAAGCATGGATTCAAGCTATTTCAATCTCCTCCTGTATGTTCTGATCTCTTAAGCGATTTTTATATCAGTTCACCACGCAGACACAAGCGGATTTATACAGAGAAAGAAGGTTGCCCAGCTTATGTGTCATTCGTGGCTGAGTGGATAAGATAAGAGTGGATAAGCCTGGGAATCTGGACCGTCCCCAGAAGCAGTATCGAGTCCTGCTGACTGCGATCTTTTTCTGTATATACCCGATTGTTTCTGCGTGGTGCATTGAATATATATATATATATATATATATATATATATATATATATATTTATATATATAATATATATATATATATTATATATATATTATATATATATATATATATATATATATATATATTTATATATATGCTATCTCATGATAATAAAATCCTTAGATAGCGAGAGTATGAATAATTACGTTTGAAAAATGTCACACCGATTCTAAAGATGAGTTAAATGTCATGAACATTTTAGTTGCATTTTTAGTTATTTTTTGGCAAAACATCCGGATTTTCGATTTATTTATAGAGAAACATCAGCTTTTTCTACAGAAGAATTTCAACAGTATTCAGCTTTTTAATTTAGAAAAATGAACGTATTCCTGACCTTTAAGAGTGACCTGACCTCCAAGAATGACCTGTGTGTGTGTGTGTGTGTGTGCATATATAAAGTCACGTGACCAATCACTGGGATATATTTATTACCAAACGTTTCAGTCCAGGGACCCTTATAACTTGTAATCACTGATTGTCCCAAGGCCGAAACGTTTGCTAATAAATGTGTCCTAATATTTCCCCATATGCCTTGACTGAAGACGTATCTTCGACAGCCAAAACGTCTCAGTGAGATACCCCACTGCCATTGTCTTTTTCCCCATATACCTACACAGCTTCTCATGCCATAACCAAAAATTGAATAGTATATAGAATCTTCTATGTTCCCGAGAGCTTATCATATATCATCTAAATTTTATAATAGACGAAAAACAAAACATGAAAGAATTTCTGAGCTCTACATTACTCACAGTAGCTTATTCCACAAGCTTATTTTGTCTACCAGGAATTTTTTTTTTTCTAAATCTCTAACTCCCATATCTAAAAGCTTTAGCAAATGCTATGTGCTATTTTATAAGGGAAAGATAAATAAAAGATTTGCGTCAGTGGGCATATTACTGTAGTAGAGAAATGCAACAGCTCTGTCAAAGTTACTAATAAGGGAAACTAAACCCATTGACAACATTGACAAAGGTGCGCATATATTCTTTGTTGCAAGCAGTGTCTAGAAAACGTATATACAGAAGAAACAGGTTTAAGTTGAAATAAACGAGTGGGTTAACACATAATCGTGTGTAAAAATATTTGAACAGGCAATTGGAGTAGTGCTGTGTTACTGTCACGTGCGCAACTATGACCAAAACAAATTTTAATGGTGAAAAGAAACAGGCAGCTAAAGATGTTTATTAGCAAGACGTTTCGCGCCCACGAGGCTTTATCTAGTACTTGATAAAGCAGGAATGTAATATCACAGCACCGTAGCTAGAGCAATCACAAATAGCCGGCACTTAGGAACCTTATGACGACGTTTTGGTCCGTCCAGGACCGAAACGTTGTCATAATAGACTTGACTTGTGCCTTGACACTGGTCCAGGGTTCGGACCGAAGCATGGTATAAGGTTCCTCTTCTTAGTGCTGGGTTTTGGTGACATGACAAAGCAGCATATCGAAACGATTAGCTAATAAAAGTCTCGTTTTGCAGTATGTTTCTTTACTATTTGCCAACTACGAAATACTTCAACTAATAAGTTTTGGCCTTTACAAACGTGTGTTTTAAGTTTGATAATCATTGTAATATCGAACCTTATAGAGTCAGTTCCAAACATCAACTTGTTTGACGGGCTTATTACTTTCATCGCCCAAGTCAGTGGAAATCTCCTCAACATGCTTGGAAGCCAGGTCACTCTCAGAGGTCAGGTCAGTCTTGGAGGTCAGGTCATCACATGCCAGAGGGATGCTTGCCTCGTCGGAGCTCTGTCCAGCTGAAGAGACTATGAGGCAAAGCATAATAATTCTGCGTCTAAGTTCTTATAGTGTCTATTAATTATTATATATTATATAATATATATATATATATATATATATATATATATATATATATATATATATATATATATATATATATATATATATATGTATATAGATAACTAGGTATGTGTATGTATATTTGAAAGATAATTCAATCATAAAATAATCAAGGCAATTGTTTAATTACAATAATGAGCTATAAGGAGCTACTTATATAAATATAGTGAAGCAAATTTGTTAAGTACTTTTTATATATATAACTAATCTTATTAAGTTTTACTGAATTTTTTCTTTAAATTATCTACATTATTTTTTGCGAGTTATTACAATGTTTAGTTTTGAAAATATTTGCTCTACTGATTCGAATTTATTAGTTTTGATTACTTGGATAAAAAAAATTTTAAGTTGTAGCTTAATAAACTCAAGAGGGTCAGGAGCTAGAGCTCATCCCTCTTAAATATGGTTATAATTTTCGTAAGAATCGTACGACGCATAGCGGAAGTGTTTGTGTTAATGGTAAGTGCATAAACGGAGGAGGGTGTTATTTAAAGCATTTGTACAGTGAACTTCATCATGTACACAACAATGTACATGTACTACGTCATGTACTTGACATAGAACATGTACTACGTCATGTACTTGACAAAACTTGATATGTACATAACGAGGTACATGTTCTCTTGACAAAGCCAACCTGCTCTCCAAGACGCCTTTAAATTTAAACTTCAATCAGTTTACGAGTATGCTAATCAGCATTAGTCAGCTTACATATCCCCTACACAGCTTATTTAACATTTATCATTTCAATAAAGAAAGTATAGCACATATGGTGGCAATTAAAGAGAGCCAGCTGTAACCGTGTCTACAGAACTACTAACAATCATTATCCAGGAAAATCTTGCTTTAAATTTTGTTTAGGTTTAAAAAACCAAAGTCAATAATGTACTGGAGAAAGTGGAGATAACTCAGAGGGACTATTAAGCCAAGTAGCAAAATCTTTCTTGTACGCAGAAATAAATGACTGGAGTAGGTTTCTTGCCCATGTTAATTCCTATAATATAAAGCTTGGAAAAAGACTTCTGGTACTAATAAAATTTCTGTTTAGCTAACAGGAATTAGTACTGTAAGAAATATATGACATAAAATAAACTCTTACATGAAATATGCACGTAAACAGCTGCTGTGTTTCCCATTAAGTTTTATTTTCGTATTATCTTTATCATCGCTGTTGAATGTAATGAAGACATATGTACCTAAATAAGCGAGATAATAATGAAAACCTTAGGAAATAAGTCAAACTATTTATCCTTTATGAGTTATTCCGCGTTTAATCTGCATGTGTTGC